CACCATCACCACCACCACCATCATCATCATCACCACCATCATCATCATCATCATCATCATCACCAACATCATCATGATCATCACAAACAATCACCATCATCATTAACATCATCATCATCACCATCACCACCACTACCATCATCATCACCACCATCAACATCATCAACATCATCATCACCAATATCATCATCATCATCACCACCACACCTACAACCACCACCATGATCATCATCATCATCATCATCATCATCATCATTACCATCACCACCACCACCACCACCACACCATCATCATGACCACCATCATCATCATCAACATCATCATCATCATCACCACCATCATCCTCATCAACATCGTCATCATCATCACCATCACCACCAACACCACAACCATCATCATCATCGTCACCATCACCATCATCATCATCACCACCACCATCATCATCATCATCACCATCACCACCACCACCATCATCATCATCACCACCATCATCATCATCAACATCATCATCAACATCATCATCACCATCACCACCACCACCATCATCATCATCACCCTCATCATCATCATCAACATCATCGTCATCACCATCATCACCACTACCACCAACACCACCATCATCATCATCCTCGCCACCACCATCATCATCATGATCATCAACATGATCATAATCATCATCATCACCACCATCAACATCATCATCACCATCATCATCATCAACAACATCACCCTCACCACCACCATCACCATCATCATCACCACTACCATCATCATCACCACCACCATCATCAGCATCATCATCATCAACATCATCACCATCATCATCACCACCACCACCATCATCATCATCACCACCATCATCATCACCACCACCATCATCATCATCACCATCACCACCACCACCATCATCATCATCACCACCATCATCATCATCATTATCGTCATCATCATCACCATCACCACCACCACCATCATCATCATCATCACCATCACCATCATCATCATCATCATCATCAACATCATCATCACTCTCACCACCACCACCACCCTCCTCCTCCTCCTCCTCCTCATCATCATCAACTTCAACATCATCATCATCACCACCATCATCATGATCACCATCATCATCATCACCATCACCACCACCACCACCATCATCATCATCACCGTCACCATCATCATCATCATCATCATCAACATCAACATCATCATCACCATCGTCACCATCACCGCCACCACCACCATCATCATCATCACCACCATCATCAACAACATCATCATCATCAGCATCATCATCATCACCACCACCATCATCATCACCACCATCAACATCATCATCATCAACATCATCATCACCATCATCACCACCATCACCACCAACACCACCGTCATCATCATCATCATCACCACCACCATCTTCATCATCATCATCATCTTCATCATCAACATGGTCAGCATCATCTCATCAGCACCACCATCATCATCATCACCATCATCATCATCGTCATCACCATCACCCTCACCACCACAACCACCTCCGCCACCATCATCAGCATTACCACTATCATCATCGTCAACATCATCATCACCACCATCATCATCATCAGCATCATCACCACCACCACCATCATCATCATCACCACCATCATCAGCATAAACATCATCATCATCATCACCACCACCACTACCACTATCATCACCATCATCATCACCACCACCATCATCATCATCACCACCATCACTATCATCACCATGATACGCTGTTTCGTTAGGCGGAGAATCGAGTTCTGATAATGACGGCTCGCTGCGATCAGCGAGCTGCTCCTCCAGAGCTTTGGGACGAGGGGCCGAAAAAGGCCCCGCTCTGAGGGAACCGAAGACAGTCAGACGAACCCCCCCCCCGCCGCGCGGGAGCCCCCCTCCAGGGTTGGGCGGGCTGGGAGAACCGAGATGGGCTGCGGACGCAATGCTCCCTGCTAATCGTTGGCAGACGACACCCCGCTCCCCGCTTAATCGTATCCGTGCACGCACCCCCTATGATACGCTGTTTCGTTAGGCGGCGAACCGAGTTCTGATAATGACGGCTCGCTGCGATCAGCGAACTGCTCCTCCAGAGCTCTGGGACGAGGGGCCGAAAAGGCCCCGCTCTGAGGGAACCGAAGACAGTCAGACGACCCCCCCCCGCCGCGCGGGAGCCCCCTGCCCCCTTACACAGGGCTAGCATTATAGATGGAGGCTTTCGCGAGGGACTGGAGGGAGTGAGTGAGCGCAGGGTTTAAAAACACTGGGCGTTTAAGGGAGTAACTAGTATGGCTCACTCCGAATGTATCTCTGCCCCGTCGGCGGATATGAGGGACGCCAGTCCTATCGCAAATACCTGTGCAGCTGTGACAAGTACGAGCCAATATCGCTATGTCTTCGGGCTCCGTGCCCACGTGCATGTATATACAACGGTGTCTCCAGGAGGCTCCGAACATGAATCTATCATTGACAACTGTCGTCACGAAACTATCTGGCACATCGGGTTGGCTAACGAGATGTGGCCAGAGCCGGCGTCCCTGCGGTATCTCCAGGAGGAGCGGCACGCGAGCTCGCCATGCTGTGGCGATGAGCCGTTTCAATCTCTCCGCAAACCTCCGCAGTCGGCGGTGGCCTGCTAGCCTACCTGTAGCTTTGTTTGCCGACGGTACCGCGGGCGACAGGAAAAGCGCGGCTACCTCACCACGCCGCAGGTGCGCCTGAAGGCGGCGCTCCAAGGGCGCGCCCAGCCGCTCGTCACCGAGGGCGTCGCCTCGCCACATCCGGGTAGGCACCCCACTTTCGGCGAGGCCCGACCCGATCGTGGCCAGCCCGTCCCCGATCAGGAGCGCTTTGCACCGCTCGGCGAGGGCTGGATGCCTCCTGGCAGAGGCACCGCTCGCCCCTACACCAAGGCGCGCTCCAGCTCGCGCAAGCACTGGTCGCCGTACGCCTCCAGCATCGGCCCGTGCATCTGCGCGCGCTGCCCGAGGCGCGCGCTTTTCTCGTAGCGCGCCATGTTCATCAACTGGCGCCAACCTCCCCGCCGCCGCACCTCTGCCTGCGTCCTCTCGCCGCTGGCACGGTCGATGCTCGCCCCCGAGTGCCCCGCCTGACACGGCGTGACGGGCCGCAGCTGCATCCTGCGGCAGGCCGCCTTCATCTTGCGCAGCAGCTCGGGGTAGTCGAAGTCCCACACAGGCTTCCGAGGACCGAGCATCTGCATCTCGCTCAGGACTGGCCCGATCCACCGTAGCCACGAGGAGTCCAGCCTCACGCTCAGGTCGAACTCCCCCACTTTGTCGGGCGTTTCTCGCTCCTGGGGGTGCATGAGGAGCCCCCAGTGCTGACTGCCACCTCCTGGTTTCACTATGTCGCCAGGGCGTAGTGTGTCTGCCCCCAGGCGTCCAAACTTTGGGTAGATGTGGTTCACCGCCGCCGCGACATACATCCCCGTCGAAGCCTGCTTGCCCAGCAGGTACAGCGAGGTGAAGTAGTGGTCCAGGCAGGCGTCCATCGTCTCCGCTGGCATCTCGAAAAAGTCCTGGCGGCCTGACCTCTGCTTCAGCTGCCCGACCACTCTCTGGCATTGGGCCCTCCCTCACGGCGTCGCCGTGCTCGACTCCAAGTATCGGTCGAGCGACACCCCGTCCTCGATCGCGCGAGCTACCGCCAGGTGCCGCCTCTTCACAAGCCTCACCAGTGTCCTCCGCCGCTTGAGCTCGACGGCGGCCTCGGACTCGCTGGTAGCGCCGCCCAAGCTCTCCCCAGCAGACCGAGCCCGCTTCCCAGTGGCGCGCCTTCGGATGGCGGCAGGTTGCGCCTCCGCCGCCGCCTCCAAGCACTGCGCTCGCGAGCCCTCCGCTGGCACGGGCGGCCCTCGGCCTTCCAGCGGGGCCCCGCTCGCGCCTCGAGCTCTCTCCCACGTGAGCACCCTCAGCCGCGACGCCGACGATGGCTCCGCTGCTGGGGAAGGGCCCGTCGCCGTCGGCCGAGCCCTCGGCAGTGTCCGGGGCGTCAACAACGGCCTGAACCAAAACGGCTACGGAGTGAGACCGAGACGCAGGGGCCCCATCGGATCCGGAGGAGCAGGGAGCCCCGAGGACGAGGGAGGAGGGGTGACGGCGATGCTCGTTTGTTTCCAGAGCTCTTACATGGATGGTGCACTGAAACGGGGCTACTCGCTTGCTCGCATTCAACATTGAAGCAATTAGAACTGACTGACTTTAGAACTGACTCAGGTTCAGCACGCCGACAGCGTAAGGGGGCCGAACGGCGTGCACGGACACGGGGGGGGGTCGTCGCCAACAATACTATTCGACTCATCCTCGCCCCTGAGACTCGACCCAGGAGGAAGAGAAAAGGCAGGCAGAGAGACAGGAATCAGACGCGTTAGAATCTTGGACGGTTCGCCACCGTCGGCCCGCGAGCCTTCGTCACTATTGTTGAGCTCACTTGGGACCCAGCGGACGATTGCCCTAAGGTTTCGACTTAAAAGATAGGCAGCAAATTTACGAATATGTCGCAATATCGCGAAGCTACGACACCTACATCTATCAAACGCTAGTGCTACACCTAGGTTATCAACTAACAAGATCTGCCTGACATTGAGGCCGAAACGAGTGAGTGCAATACGCCTCAGATTTCACGAGGGCCCTGGACTCTAGAAAGCCGATGTGCTCACCGTGCCTCCACGTCCCCTGGCCAACGTTACGCCAAAGCTGATGAGACAGGAGAGAGCTGGGCACCTCACGGAACTCCGGGTCCATCTCGTAGTCACCCCTGGGCAGCGTGGATTCGGTCAAGGCCTTCTCGCCTTCGTCAACACAGAGAGCCACGTCCTCTCCCCTGGCGGTCAGAAACTCCCCAAGACCCGCGGCAGAGAGGGCGGAGCGACGAGCGTCACCCCCCCCCTCGGTACGGAAACGACACCTCTCCCGCCAGCGTCCCACGGAGTTGAGAGCCTCGAGATCCCAGAAGCTCCCCGCGATACCAAACCCACTCTCAGAAGCATCCGCACACTGCACCCATCGATTATATGGCAACCGCCAATCTGAGACGATCAGGGGAAGCAAGCCCCGAAACGTCTTCAACTCTTCTCGAAACCTATTCCAAAGGGATGCTGAATCTTTGCCCATTTTAGTCACAAACCTATAACAAGAGTGAAAGACGCAGAGCACGGGGCGGCGCACCAGGCCCAGGCACGTGCAATGCCCCAGCAGGACGCGCAGATCATCACCACGGACTGCACGAAGTTGGGGCAGTCCCGTGATCGCCTGGCGCACCCCCCAGAGCCTCTTCGACGTCGGGCGCGTCTGCAGCCTCTGGCCGCCCAGCACCACGCCGAGCACCTCGATGCCGTCACACCGAACCTCACGCCCGTGGACGCGTGGACCCACGGCCTCGAAGGCCTGCGCCAGCTCGTCGAGGCTGCTGCTCACGCGCCCCCCGTTCTGCCCGATCACGCCTATGTTGTCGACGTACACGTAGTGCTCGATCTGCGCCGTGCCCGCCGCCAACCTGAGCACCAATGGCTTCCCCACGTCGCTGAGGGGCGCGCCGTCGCGAAGGCTCGGCGCGAACTGACAGCGGAGCTCCGCCACGCTCTGGCACAGGCACAGGCTCCACGTACGTCCCATCGGGAGAGCCTCGGGGACAGGGAAGATGACGTCGTCGTAGCCGAGCACCTTCCCCTCCAGCATCGCCCCGTGGAGCCTGACGTCCCCGGCCTCCAGGGCGGGCAGGCCGAACAAGCGCTTCATCCAGGGCGGCAGCCGCACGCGGTGGAAGGCGCCCTTCACGTCCGCCACCCCCGCCGAGAACTCCACGTCCTTGAGCGCCGCCTGGAAGGCCGCCTGCAGATGGCCCTCGGCGCCCCCGTCCTCCTCGAGTTCGAAGGCCGAGAGACCCTCCGCTGTCAGCAACTGCACCGACGGGGGACCTATCAACCAAGCGTTGCTCCTGCGACAATCCAGAATCATACGAGTCGTTTCCCCCCCGTCTTCCACGCGAAAAAGATGCCCACCGTCTCCGAGACCTGACGTGCACATGACACCAGCCCACGTTTCGCGAGATCCCTCACAAAGTCACCGTACCGCCGCCGGCTCCGCACCAGCGATGGTTCGCTGAAGGGCGCCCGCGGACAACGCTCCAGCGCCTCGAGCGCGCTCTCGTGGCCCCGCAGCATGCGCTCGCCCTGCCCCATCCACGCACTGGCGCGCCCGCCCCCGAAGCAGCTCGCGAAGCGCGGGCGCCTCGGCGATGCCCTCGGGAAGCGACGGCAGCCCAGGTCGGCAAGGGGCGAGCGCGTCCTCGGGAGGGCCGCCAAGGTAAGGCGACCTCCCTCGCATCAACTCCCGCAAGGCTGAATGCGGAGGCTGCAGCCCCACGCCCCGCATCGGCTGCGCGACGTCGTTCACCTGCCCATCGATGCGCTGCGCGACGTCGAGCTGCGCGGCCGCCACGGGCGTCGTGGAAGACCCCGCGGATGCCCCTGCCAGCCAATTGAGGCTGTCAACCGCCTCGTTCACCAGCACATCATGAAAGCGTCGCTGACGAAGTCGACGCCGACCTCGCCCTGACGCCGCGTGGCCCACGAGCTCCCCCCTCCCTGGCAACGGGAAGATGTCGCGAACGCCCCCCCCCAGGCCACGGCCCAGGCGGTCCTGCACACTCGAGGCCGCTGGCTGAACCACGTCCAGCGGCCACTCCTTCCATCGTCATTTGTCAGCCCCCGACGCGGTCACGTCGGAGCCTTCGGCCCTTTCGGACCCTTCTTGTTGCCGTTGCCGTCATCTCTCTCTGACTTGGGCCGCTCGGCCGCCGTGAGGCCTCGAACACGAGCGCCCAGGAACTCGGCGTCCTCCTTGGCCCGCTTGGCACCGAAGCTGCGCAGCTCAGGCGCCACCACGTCTCCCGGGCCCGTCTCGCCTGCGAGGTAGCGGGCCATCCGCCAGTTGGCTGGAGCTCCAGGCACAGAGTGGGCGTCGGTGATCACCTGAATTCGCCTCGCGAGCCTCTCCAGCGACCGCAGACCGCCCAAGCTCAGGCAGAGAACCTCCAGCTCGTGGTAGATCCGATCCGTGCGCTCGATGCGGTGCTCTCGGCTCCACTCGGCCAGCCAGCGCATCGGGTCGCCCCCGCTCTTGTACATGGCCTTTGCCAGGTGGGCGATCGACGCGGGACCATCGATCGGGTCGTCGGGGGAGCTCTCGGCCGTGATCTCGCTCGCTCACCACGCTGCGCCCATCCTTGAACCTTTCCCCGTGCCCGTCGAAGTCCACGCTGAGGGTCCTCACGTCGCCTACGCTACTGGTCGCTATACGCTCCTCTCCACTGCCAGCCTCGCCCGCGGTCTCGCTAGTGTTCAGCCCGAGCTGGTCCTTCACTCCCGTTCCACCGATCTGTCGACCTGAGGCTCCAATACGTCTATGGCTCGGCGCAGGCGCGCTATCTGCTCAATGGCCAAGGCGGGTGCACTACCGACACCCACCCGACGCACTCGAGACACCTCCGAGCCCATGAACTTCAGCCCGTCGCTTCCAGTAATCACGTCCGTCGGTGTCATGTGCACTTCCTCGCCTATGGCCCGTCCGCCGCCTGACTCCATCAGCACCCAGATCGTGTCGGAAGGGGGTGAGACGTCCACAAGCTGAGCCAGATCACCTCGAGGTGCACGCAGAACAGCCGACAGCTCCGTTCGATGACCGTCGTCCCCGATAACGTACTTTGGCCATTGCTCCAGCTTCTGTCCCCTCGCCGTCTCGACGTCGCGGCACCCCTTGCTTAGCGTCATGATCTGCTCGTGACTCGGTCTCTCCCTGGACTTGTAAAGCCGCCGAGCGCCAAGCAACGGGTAGCCTACGTTCGGCATCGGCCGAGCCCCGCTGGGGCCCGTGAGAGGATCTTCTCCGTCGAGCCGCTCCTTCCACACGTCTCCGTCGGGAGAGAGAACCCACCAGACTTCGTCGTCCTCTATGCCCGACCCGTCTTCGCATACACGTCGAGCTGGCCACAGCAGATGTCTCTCGTGATCCACGTCATCATCTGAATAGCTCACGCGGGCCCGCGAGCCCACGGCCGCCTCACGCCAGAACTCCTGCTCCCCTGCGGCGAGGCGCATCGGCACGTGAGCTCTCGCCATCTCTCGTCGCCGTTTCTGTCCTCACTCCTCGCCGCGCCTGCCACACGTGCCACGCGGCGCCGCCGAGCACCTGCCCCGCCCACCACAGCAGCGGGCCACGCTCCCAGCCTGCTGGGGGCTCGGGCGCGGGCGCGGGGCACTCCTGCGCAGCAGGCTCCCAGGCGGGGCACTCGGCCGCCGCCCACGGGGGCGCCCCAGCCGCCCACGCGGCCGCTGGCGCGGCAGGCGGTGGCGGCGGTGGCGGCGGAGGCGGCGCGGCCGCGTTCGCAGTCCAGTTGCGAGCCGCCGCCACTTCGCGCTCCCGCACGGCCTGCGAGAGCTTTTCTTGCACGAACTCGCCGAGCTGCAACCAGAGAACCAGCCACAGAGGAAGGTTCGGAGGCGCCTGCCACTGCATGGCCTGAGAACCGAGATGGGCTGCGGTCGCAATGCTCCCTGCTCATCGTTGGCAGACGACACCCCACTCCCCGCTTAATCATATCCGTGCACGCACCCCCATCATCATCATCATCAACATGATCAACGTCAACATCACCATGAAACAAGACATCCTCCGACTGGAGTCCCGGACATTTACTGGAATGTGTGTTTTCAATCCGCGGCCCCAGAGGTGCCGACCGCTTGCTTCCCCGAGGGTAGTTTTTCGCCACGGACGCATAGATCCTCCACCGTTCCCCCTGCCGCGTTGAGGCATGGTGGAGCGCCAAGTTCTGTCTGGTGGGGTTTTTGTACTCAAAAAAAAAAAAAACGCCCCCCTAGTCGCAGACTGGTGCGTGCATCGTCCCAACTCCCGAGGCCACGACCCCTCGTTAAAAGCGATGGATGCGCTTTCCAGGGGCCACGATCACTCGAACAACAAAGATGTGTCCGCGTCCCGAGCTTCCAAGACGGTCCAGGCAGGCAACCAAGGCAACCAAGATGACTTAAGATGCCTCGACGACGGTCAAAGATGGCCCGCCCCACGGCTGTCTAATATGGCTTCAAGATCGCCCCCGAAACCTCCACGATGGCTCCAAGTCGGTCCAAAAATTACCGAGGATCCCAAGGTGGCCCAAAAGGACCCCACGATGGCCCAATAGGCATCCTGTACGGATCCAGGACGGCCTCCCCATGGGATCCCAGACGGCGTTAGGCCCTGTGAAGGCCTAAAACGGCCCCCAGACATCCACCGTGTGGCGGCCAAGAAGGCTCAAGACGGCCCCAGAAGGCCCAACGACTGCGACATAAGGCCCCAACACGGCTCAATCGGCCTCCAAGAGCCCCAAGATGGCCCAACAGGACTCCACAAACCTTCCTCTTCCTCCTCCTCCTCGACCTCCTCCTCCTCCTCCTTCTCCTCCTCCATCGCCTCGTCATCGTTACCATCCTCATCATCCTCATTGTCATCATCATAGCTCCCCCAAGCCTGAATATACGAGATGTCACACGAGACGGCCTCCCGTGCCACCTCGAACATGCATCACCCAAAGATGCTGGGCTGGCACGGTGGCGGGACTTGCAGCAAGCAGCTGGATAACGGACCCGAGAGGCCGAAATCGGGGGAAAAACAGCTAGGATGACAAAACATATCGTCGGAGATCTGGCGTCGCCTTCGTGATGGCCGTCGCCATCGTCGTCGTCGTCGTCGCCGTCACCGTCGTCGTCGCCAGCGTCGCCGCCACCAGCGCCGCGGCTGCCGCCGCCGCCGCCGCCGCCGCCGTCGTCGTCGTCGTCGTCGCCGTCGCCGTCGCCGTCGCCGTCGCCGTCGTCGTCGTCGTCGTCGTCGTCGTCGTCGTCGTCGTCGTCGTGGTGTCGTCGTCGTCGACGACGTCGGCGTCGTGTCGTCGTCGCCGTGTGGCCGTGGCCGTGGCCGTGGCCGTGGCCGTGGCCGCCACCGCCGTCGTCGTCGTCATCGCCGTCGTCGTCGTCGTCGTCGCCGTCGTCGCCGCCGTCGCCGTCGCCGTCGCCGTCGCCGTGGCCGTGGCCGTGGCCGCGGCGCCATCGCTCGGGGAGCCACGCTGCGCAGCAGCCACCGCGCCACCGCGCCGAGCAGCCGCGCGGGCCGGGGGCCGTCAGGCTCGGCGGCCTGCCCAAGGGTGGGTTGGGGATTGATTTTCTGGGAGGAGGAAGAGGAAGAATACTACGAATAATAATAAGCATACTGGCAGAACAAATGATAAGAGAAAGACGGATAAGAAGAGTACTACGAATCATCACACTTATAGGGATAATAATACTGATCATCAAAAGAAGAACAATCGGAATACTAATAATAACACTAATAAGACTGATAATAAGCAAGACTATTACTATTAATACGAATAATACTGATAAAAAATAAAAAATATTAGGAGGCGGCACGAGGAGGAGGGAGGAGGAGGAGGAGGAGGAGGAGGAGGAGGAGGAGGAGGAGAAGAAGCAGCAGGAGCAGGAGGAGGAGGATCCGAGAGAATTCGGCGACGACGGAGTCAAGAACTGCCAGCTAGGACGTGTTGCAACTTCGGCGCCTCCTGCGACCCAAAGATGAGGAGCAGGAGGAGGAGCAGCAGGAGCAGGAGGAGGAGGACGAGGAGGATGAGGAGGAGGAGGAGGAGGGCGAGGAAGAGGAGGAGGAGGAAGAGGAGGAGGAGGAGGAAGAGGGCGAGGAGGAGGAGGAGGGGGAGGAGGAGGAGGATGGGGAAGAGGAGGAGGAGGACCAGTGTAACACCAAGAGTCATCAACGATGTTGGAATTAACCATCCCTCCAAGCTCCCTCTTCATAGGCCCCACAACGGTTCATTTCCATTGAGAGAACTGCCTCATTGAAAGACAACCGTTTGAAAAGCCTGCAACATGCCGAAACATTGCTCTCGGAATTTCAACGCCATGTATCAACCTGACTGCTGCGTCTTGACGATCCGAAATCGTGCCAGAACGCCATTTGGGGGATTTCAACACCGCGAATCAACATAACTGTTGCACCCGCTCCTTCCACAACACCATTTCTGTTACGTTGACCATGTGAACCCGTGAAACTCTTGCAAATTTTGAAAATGAATGTGCGCGGCGCTAAGGCGAGAACCATATGTTGAAAAAGAACCGCCCTCATTCCGTGAAACTCTTGCAAATGTTCAAAGCGAGTGTGCACGGCGCTACAGCGAGAGCCACATGTTGAAAACCACCCGCCCTCAATCCGTGAAGCTCTTGCAAATTTCTACAAAGAATGTGCACGGCGCTCAGGGGAAAGCCACATGTTGAAAACCACCCGCCCTCAATGCGTGAAAGTCTTGCAAATTTCTACAAACAATGTGCGCGGCGCTAAGGCGAGAACCACATTTGAAAACGACCCAGCCTCAATCCGTGAAGCTCATGCGATACCGTGAAAGCAAATGTGCACGGCGCTCAGGCGAGAGCCACATTTTGAAAACCACCCGCCCTCAATTCGTGAAACTCTTGCAAGTGTTGAAAACCAATGTGCGCGGCGCTAAAGCGAGAGCCGCATTTTGACAACGACCCGCCCTCCATCTGTGAAACGGTTGCCACTTTTTAAGCTTCAGAGCCAGAAATGGTGAGGAAGTCTCAGGCGAAACGCCCGGCCCGCCCTAAAAACTGGCCTCGGGGTGCGACAGGGCGGAGTTATCTATAAGGAGAAGGAATGATGGAGGAGGAGGAGGAGGAAGAGGAAGAGGAGGATGAGGAGGAGCAGGAGCAGGAGGAGGAGAAGCAGGAGCAGGAGCAGGAGCAGGAGGAGGAAGATGAGGAGGAGGAGCAGAAGGAGGAGGACGAGGAAGAGGAGGAGGAGCAGCAGCAGCAGCAGCAGCACTAGGAGCAAGAGGAGTATTGTAAGCTCGACCGCCACGCGGCGCAGCTGCCGCTGACCACCACACCGAGAGCTGACGCCAACGGTGGCACAGTCATGGGGGCGCTTGCACGAAACTGGGGTCCAAGGGGCGAGGAGGAGTAGCAGCAGCAGGAGGAGGAATCTGTTGGCCAAGCCTGAGAGGCCGAGCTGCACCCAACGACGAAGGCACACCTCAGGCCAACCACCTAAGCCCCTGACCTTACCTGCACCTGCGCCGAGAAAGGTGCCACCAGTCCACCCGAAAGGTATGCCCTGCATGCCCACTTCTCACGAGTTCTCGCTGGCCGTGCTCGCGCCAGCAGCCCCGTCGGGCGTGAAAGCCTGCAGGCGGCTTGCACCATCGTTCCGTGGTTGCTCATGGGCGCGGAGGACTGCCTTTTGGACGCCCTCGCGCCCAAGGTACAAGCTTTCGAGGGACCGCGGCAATTTCTCGGCCCCTCTCCTGGCGGGGCCAGGGCGCTCCTGCAGCGCGTGCCGAGGCTCCTCGGTGCTCTACCTGCCACGGCGGCGGCCGCACGCCACCGGACACCGAGGCCCGAGGGCCAACACCTCTTGTCGCGGACTCGGCGAACCCACAAGTCGGTAGGAGGAAGTGGATCGAGTTGCGGAAAAACATACGTATTTCGCCGAGTGCGCTCCACTACTCGCAAAGTGCCTACTCGCAAACGTCAAAAAATCACACGTTCGCCTCGATGTAATTTATCGTAGATCCTTCGCGGCTGATCCAGGCCATTTGCGAGCTGTGACTTCGCGAGTAGCGGAACGCGCTTGCCTAGTATTAGCACCAGGACAAGGCGAAGGAGGGAGAGCGGACGCGGAAGGGACGGACGAGGGACGAGGGCGGCACTCGGGACAGAAGGCAGGGGCTGCGCCAGGCTGCCGGCTTCAGGCGACTTGCAAAACTGCAGCAGGCAGCGAGACTGCGCCAATCCATGGCAGCGTCGACGAGTCCGTTTGCTTCCACACTTGACCACCTCGTAGGCCGAGGACTGAAGTGCAGGGGGGGGCGTTCCGCGGAGGGAGGTAGGAGGAGGGGGAGGATGACGGGGGGGGTGCTCGATGCGCGAACCCTGCTGTGCTGAGCCTGGGCCGCACGGCTGGCGCCATCGGCACTCACCTAAGTAATGAAAGGGGAACGGGAGAGGCTCAGGGGGGAGGAGGGGAGAAACACCAGGCGTGCGGCACGGCGAACGGATCAAGACGCTGGCGCTGCATTCTCGCCGCCGCTGGGGCCATCCGTCAAGACGACGAGACCCCCAAATTTGGCGCCCATGGCCAGCTCGCCGAAAGGCTGGGGCCGACGGTCGCCCGAAGAGTCACCGCTGTGAGCGTCCCGGCGGAAGGCGGTGGCGCTCTGTCTCGCGACACTCCCGTGGCGTGTTGCCGCGCGACTTACACCCACATGATGCACGGAGAATGTACGCACCTGCCGACAACGGACGATGGCGACCGCCACCCGCGCCGCAGCGAGGCGGTAAGTGTGACGTCCGTGTGCCGCTGCGCAGGCACCGCACACGGCGAAACCCGCCACGGAACGCGATCAGCTCATGCCTGCCGCCCTGCACGGGGACATCCGCAGTGACGGCAGGATCGGCGCGGCTGCCAAACACGCGGCCGCGTTCCTGCCATGGGACGGCCGCGCGTGCAGAAACCGACCGGGGAACCGGCCCCCACACACTGCGCCGAGCTGGATGCCCCTAGCACCCTCCGCTCCGCAACGGCATCGCTGGGATGGGAGCGGGCGCCCTTCCGTGCAGCAGAATCGGCTTCTGCATTGCCGAGCCGACGATAGCGGACGTCAGGACTAATGTCGTCCTCGCTTGCCCCGGCATGCCCTTTGACCCTGCAGACCCGCACTTGACAGTCGAAATCGTCAAAAAGGCATCCCAAATAGCCGTCCACAAGTCGGCCGCGACACACCCGGCATGAGTGGTCTCCCAGCGCCCTTTAGCGAACGAGGATACCACCCAGTGGCAGTCAGAGTCCAGAACTGTGCCCGCCACCCCGCGAACCCTCAAGCATGCAGGGAGGGCCCATGCGCTAGGACCCTGACCGTGCCCGACGGCGACACTCGAGCGAGGCCCCGACCCGCCACGCGCAGAAGGAGATCCCCTCTCAGTCACCGAAGACATCGCCCTCGCAACAGAGAGGGAGGGGGCAGGGCCAGGGAGGAACTCCTGGGGGTCGGGCACGAGCCCATGCCGCCATAGGCACCAATCTGGGTGCGAGGCTGCAGGCTCCAGCAGGCTCACGGGCAAATCATAGTCGCGCCTCCGCACGCGCGTGGTCACACAGCTACCCCCGGCTGTGTGCTGCAGGGTGCCCGCCTCGCCGCCGCAGTATGGGGAGACGCCTGCAGCCCCGCGTCGTGGCGCCGCGTTGCATCCCAGATGCCATTGCCGACGACTGCGCAGACGAGCCCTTGGTGGGCCAGGCTCCAGTCGGCCGACACCTTGCCCGTGGCCGGCGCCCGCAGCGGCTCCAAATAGGGCTCGCGCGTGAGGTCGGCCATGTACGGGCGCGGCGCAAGCGCTCGCTGAAGCAGCCACCACTGCGCGGAGCGCTGCGCCAACACCATGACCGTCTTGGGGCACATCTCCATGAGGTTGACCCTGAAGCCGTCGTGGGAGTGGAAAATGCACGGCGTGCTAAGCACCTTCCAGCAGATCCGCCTGGCCAACGCCACTGCCGCGCCCACGGGGCCTGCGACCAGCTGCCAGTCCACACAGTCCGTGCTGTATGCAACCGCCGCGTCGGCTGCGTAGGCCAGCTTGGTCAGCCACTCGCGCGGCAGCCACATGTCCCAGACCGCTTTAGCGAAGTTGCCGATCAGCCCCACCGTGCAGGCGTAGGCGGGATCGAGACTGTGCGGCGTAACCTGGATGGCGAGGTCCAGGGCACAACGCCAGGTGGGCGGCCCAGGGCACAACGCCAGGTGGGCGGCCCTGCGCAGCGGTTCGATGCGGGACCACGCCCAGCCAGCTAATGTGCGCGGCGCTAATGCGCGAACCACATTCTGAAAACGACCCGCCCTCCATCCGTGAAACTCTTGGAATTTGATTAATCGTATGTGCGCCGCGCCAAGGCGATAACCACCTTGTGAAAACGACCCGCCCTCAATCCGTGACGAACGTGCGCCACGCCCAAGCGAGAACCACATTTTGAAAACGACCCGCCCTCCATCCGTGAAACTGTTACCAATGTTTAAGCTTCAGAGCCATACGTTGTGAGGAAGTCTTAGGCGAAA